AAAAATTCGACAATTCATTTTCTTTCAAAATTCTTGGTATAGTTTGATAGCCAGCTCCATAAGCTTTAATTTGATATAGGGGTTTAGGTATTTACGGCTTAAACTGCACGCGCTACATCGTTTGCGCGCGAGACACTCCTGAAGGTATACTGTGACCTTAAGGCCAAAAATTAAAGGGATGTGGGATACCCCCCCCCCTTAATGGAGCCTTAGCAAGATCAATAGATCGGTACGGAGAATCTGTATGTCGGTCGGAATCCCGTCTCCGAGCTGAGGTCTGCACTGAACAAGAGAGGTTCATAGGAGCGGTCGCTAAGTAACATATGACCTATCAGTTATGTCACTTTATTGACGTAGTAGCGTTTGGTGTTCCCCGAGTTTTCGTACAAATTCAGAGTTTAATCAAGTGTAGCCTCGTTCCCAGTGCTTTTCCTTTCCAAACCTCAATAGAAAAGCCCTGGGAAGAAGATTGAATCAGGAGCCGTTCTTGCGGCCGAAGTGAATTCTTTCACAGAATAGCAGTAGGATTAAGCAACGCTTTATTGAAGAGATCATGGATAAACGATGCCTGTTAGGATAGAAGTCGAGTTTCTTCAGCTGAAATATAGCGTTTGAAAACTTACCAGCTCATAGCTCTTGGGACTCAGTTGCAACTCCGAAACTGAAGCATAAAGTGGCCAGTAGTTACTGTTTGCCATTCCGGCGACCAAAGATGGTACGGTAGCCCATCACATACTCCTACAGCATTCTGAAAGGTTGTCCAAACAAACCGCTGGTGCCCATTTATACTCCAGGGCGGGGAGGGGCTCCTTAAGGCGGGGGTCAACAGAATATTCTGTAAAAAAAATTCGCAGTTTTGTTTTTATCGAAATTTGAATCTTGAGGTATTGAAGTTTTATTTTGAGAATTTCTGTTACTCTTAGTTCAAAGCTCTTTTTCTCAAAACGAGTTATTTTTCCCCTTGAAAAAAAATATTTTGAGAAGGCTTTGTCCAATGAGACTGAAATTTTCAGGATTAGTTGTTCTGAGTAGGTTTTGTGTTTAAGCAGAGATCTTATCCATCCAGTGCATTTTGTCGAAGTTATGGATTGAAACGTATGCTGGATTTTCTGTATCAGATTTAACTGACCACCATTTCATGTCCTTTAAATTTTTCAAAAATCTCTCTTCTTAAAACAGTAAACTTTTTGTCTTCTTTTAAAAAATGTAAAAGTTATTCATTTTGATCAGTTCTTGTAGGAGTTATCTTTTCTCAAGTAAGCCCAGACATTCCTCAGCTGGTGGCAGATTTAATCAGCCGGTGTCAGGTTACAATACAGTTCTAGGGTACAAAAATATTTCCTTATGGTCTTTAAGCTTTCTAAAAATGTATACTTTGCCATGGTTTGGATTTAAATCTTACCCCGAGGAAAGGTTTGAAAAAATGGTGTGTTTTTAGGTTAACGGCCACCTAAGAGAGAGCGAGAGAGAGAGGGGTGTCTTACCCACAAACTCAACATACTGATCCTAACACCACCCTCAAACCAATTTAGTGCTACTAAAACCTATCCTGCAATTGCAAGTTGAAAAGTTACAGAGAGTTTTATCTGGGCAAACGTCGTTTCTCATATATCAAGTAGCGAGTGAACGCATAGTTGTTGCCGTGAATTACGTCATTGTACGTAAACGAAAACACGACTTTCTTACGCTCGCGCGCATTTTTTCACAACTACAGCATTAAAGTCGCTTGTGATCACGTCTGTCGAGTTTAAATATTTCATGACTATTATTTCTATTTCATTTTATTGTATACAAATTTAATTCATTCACTGGTGTGCTTCTTCGGGTACCAGACAAAAATATGAACATTTTGTTAATAATCATCGTTCTTGGGTTAGTGTGTTTAGAGCCATGTATTACGTAATCCTTGTTAACGCCCATGTTTACCCGGCTGGCATACGAAGAAAGTCAGCTGGGGAGAGCTATTTTCGTTGGGATACTCGAATTGAATTAGCTTCTTTTTTGTCTCATCTCTTCGTCACAGGTGTGCTGTTACGTGACGCGTTACATGATGTACCTAGTCCACTGGTCCGAGATTGAAAAAGTTCAGAGATATTCCGGGGTTTTCGCAGCATCGTCCATTCCTTCTTCATTGACCTTTGGACCTTACGAAGGACCGTTAAACATCCTCTTAAAAACCAATGAACATAAACACTTGGATTACATTCTGGAGGTAAGAGAAGTGATGTCGACCATGAGATCTTTACATAACAGAGCCAATGAATGCTCCCCATGATATCCCTTTCAGATTTTAATTTTAGCTTGGGTATCTGCTCTTTATATTTTTAACTCGGTTAAAAAATTTAATAACTCGATCTCCATGCATATGACCATTCGGAACAATGTTGTTAAAAATGAAATACTTAGGGTGTTTACCATTAATTTACCCAGAAATTCCAGAGATTTTAGAATTTACATTGTAGATGTAAAAATTTTTTGACCTTGACCGACAGACAAATCACCGAAGTAAATGTAACTTATTGAAAGATAATTCAAAACTTCCGAACGGAAAATCCGCCGGAATGGAAAATATTTTCACCATTAGCATTCATCTGTCAGCTCCAAGCTTTCCACCTGTTTCAACTCCAATAAGGGACGGACCATCACTTTTCCGATGGGGGAGGGGGTTGGGGGGGGGNCGGAGGGTTGGGTAATTTCCAACAACAAAAAATTCTTGCACAGCAAAAACTGCTGAGAAAAGATCATGCAAGGGGAGCCATGGGGAAAAATTGAGTGCTCTGTACTTTCCAGGTCCCTGTGTTTGCCGCTTTGAAGAAAATCTTGCACAAGCTATTGCCCACCGAGAAAAAAATTATGCCCAACCTAACAATGAGGAAAAAAACTCCATGACCCAGAAAATTGCCTATCCCCCTCCCCACTCAAAATACAAAAGTCCATCTCTAAGCGGCTATTCAGCACAGTTTCGAGCGTTCCTACTGTAACAATGGATAAATGGTAAACGCCAAATGTGGTCCGGAATTTCCGTTCACAATTTTTGTTTACCTGATTGTTTCAAACTGTAAGTCGACCCTTTTAATTTACTTGTATAAATGGTAAACAACTGGGCCGGGTTGTTAACTAACGCTTAACGCTATCTCAGGATTAAAAGTTAACCGAAGTATAAAGTTTTCCTGTATAAAAATGTTTTCCACAACTTATGTTTTGTGTAGTTTGAGGTTATTCAAACTTAAAAGAGAAGGCCAAACAATATAAACAGAAAACCTTATCCGCAAGGTTACAAACTGAAATCAAAATTCTCGTTAATCCTGGGTTAGCTATATGTGGCTTTGAACGACCTGGCCCTGATGTTTCACGGGTACAAAAAACATAGAAAGGGGCAGGAGCCATAATCGGGGGATAGCTTGTGGGACGTGGAAGGGCTTGTAAGGAGCTTCAGTTCTCGTTTAGGCCGTGGACAGTGAGTCCTTATATCTTTTCTCGATTACATCATCATCTCCTCGTCTCTCCGAATTTCGCTCAGAAACTTAGCGGTCGTTAATTCTCATGCTATTTTAATCTGTATCTCTATCATCAAAAGTTTCATTTTAATAAAATTTGATTTAAAAATTAGAAATTTGAATCATTTAGTTCTGGCATGGTTGTTAGAAGTGGGTGGGGACTGGCCATTACTACAAATAGAAATAAAACGCCTCTGTTCTTACGTTTTTGCTTAGAAAATATGTAGTTTCCCTAACTAACATATTTACCAGAGGCGCGGTGCGCTGTGGAATTTGTCATATTAATATTTTTGTTGCTGGGCTTTTCAACCCGTCGTTTTTAGGTAACTTACAGATGTGGACAACTTATCTGGGTCGTAGACCGCCATCTTTCATGGGTCCCTTTTATGAACTTCGCTCGCTGCCCCGAGGAGCAAAATGTAGAGGTGTTCTTGAGCGCTGGCTCGTTTTTCTTTCGCACCATTGACAGAGTGGCCCGGGGCGAGGAGCTGCTAATATGGCCGACTGAAGGACTTTGTCGAAGTCTTAGGATTCCAAATCTCGTGACCCCGAGAGTAAACGAAGGTAAGAATTCTTTCTTGATTAAATCTTTCAAAGATTCTCTATTCTGTGCTTTTATCAGTCTGTCACTCAATCAGAGGGGGTAATTTCGAATAGCTTAGCCAATCAGAGCACACTAACTCCCCTGTTAATCTGTGCTTTTATCAAACCACTGTTTCACCCAATCAGAGCCATTAAATGTTAGTTGTTTTATAAAAACGTTATTTCTAATATAAAGCCCAGCCAATAAGAGCACGTTATTTCGAACAGCGTAGCCAATCGGAGCATACTTACTCTCCGGTTAATCTGTGCTTTTATCAAACCACTGTTTTACCCAATCAGAACTCTTATATGTTAGTTTTTTTATACAAACGTTATTTTGAATATAAAACTCAGCCAATCAGAGCACGCGTAATCCCTCGCTAATCTGTGCTTCAAACTATAGTTTTATCCAATCGATTACCATGCTAGAAAGTGCATGAAACGTTATCATTAACTGTTTCCAGCCAATCAATGTACTACTAGTACTTTCTTGCTAATGTTATTTAACTGTTAACATATGTTCAAGAAACATTTTCTGTCCAAGCATGCGACTGAAACTGACCTTTTCCGTGCAAATTCCAGGCGTCTGCACGCTAGTCTTTTCTTGATGGCTTCATTAATCATCATTACGCGTTCTCTCAAGGTGTTTTGCCTTTAGAATTAGGTGCATTCCCGCAGAATTCCCTCATTCCCGCATCTCCTGATTTGCAGAACGCTTTCGTTCTAGCCTCTTCCAGGCGTTAAGATAGGGAGCAGCGCGAAAAAGAGAGCGCGAAAAAAATTGTGGAGAAGCGCGGCGCGGGAAGACTCCTCGAACCAAGCCTCTCTCTCCTTGTTTTCGCTCCGCCGATTTCGCGCTGCAGCCCATCTCATGAACTTGTGGACGAGGCTACTTTCGCACTAACAATAGTAGGCACCATCGCTAAATATTGCGCATTTGTAATTTGATTTATTTCTTTAATTAGACGGCCTCTTTGAGAACTAACTTAGGTCCATGGCAACAGATGTTGCCGTAAAAAACTTAACTGCCGAACCCTGCCTGCGGCCATCGCGCCAACACAAACGTTTTTTTATGTTGCTTAGCGCCAAGTTAGTTTCTTATCTGCTAAAGCCGTTAATCCGACCGTCAACCTTCTCGTTAAACTAACGCAGGCAACAACCACATTTTGGAGTCTCCAACCTTTATTTTCTTTATAAACTCACTTCCTTAATACGACCACCATGAGATAAATTACGAAAAGCGAATAGAGTCTGCTTAAAATTGTCTTCAAGTACAGCGAGCGAGCGAGCGAACTCGCGTACGCGTCCTGTTTCCAAGGGTCTTTTTTATCTCCACATTTGAAATTGCTAATCTTATCGCTTAAATAACTATTCAGAACAATTTCACGATCGTCTTTAAGTGCCGTCAAATCCGCCGTTTTGTGAGAATGATTCATTATTATCGCCGCACAACAGGCTATTGTGTGTGTTACAGAGCGAGCCGTTACTTAGCAGACCCGGCCGTTCTTGAGGTATTTTTATTGTGTCTAGAGCTAAACATACATAATACCCCGTAGCATGTGTTTGTATTGTTCTACTGATTTGATGTAATTGAGTGTTAAGAGGTATTTTTCAAATCCAGATCTGTTCTGTCTCTAAAAAGGCCCGGGGTTCGCTTTTTACGAGACTCGAAATGGCGCATTGCAGTGGCTATTAACCGTCCGATTGTCATCATCGAAAAGTTAGCTTGCTAGCTGTTAACTTTGCTAGTTAAGTCTTATCATTATTAGAGGCCTAAATAACAGCCAATATTAGCTTAGACGGGATTGGCAGAAGAAAGAAACCGTCTTGCCCGGAACTTAATCTCGCGCCTTGGAGGATACCTCATCTGGTCTTAAAATTAGTTGCATCATCTTCATTAATCTGTTTTTCTTTTTTCAATCTATAAGATAAGCAAGCTTAGGTTTTAAAAGAAAGTTTAACGCGCGGTGCAAGATGTCTTATTCAAAAGTTCTTTGTCGTATTGTTTACGACTTGTGTAATCTTGTATTGTAGCATTGTTCCGATGAAAGACTCAGACTATCTCTTCTCCGCTAGCATTTGCGTAACAAGTCTTTTGTTCGTTACTTTGCTTCACACCTTTTTGTTCTCAATTTAGAAAGGTTGGTTTCCTACGCGCATTGAACAGAAAAATATCATCGCTAGATTATGAAGAGAAAAGCCAAAAGCTAAGAACAAGGGGGTTTCTTTCCTTCTCTATCTTTCCAGGTTTTTGTCTTTGCAGATAATTTTGGTGCTATTTTCCTTCATTAAACACACGCTCGTTGTACAGAAGGTGAGCGCGGGAGGTAGCGTGATCGAAGATTCTTGAAGTCGGAAACTAACATGTGGTTTTATTGTTCGAATGGAAACTAATCTATCTTGTAAAGTGCTGTTTTGGCTAGCGCTTCTAATAATAACAGCTATTATCAAGATTTCTAAAAAAGTTCAACACAGGCCAGCCAGTGATAACAGGGTGAATAATCTCTCTTGATAAGAAGACACCTTTTTGTTGAACCGCGAATCAAAGCATTTGGAAAATTAAATTTCAGCTCCATGACAAGTCGGTTCGATTCACCTTACTCAATTTTACTAGACGTCTGTTAAAGGGCCAAATTAATTAAATAAAGCATTGGTGACACTAACTACACAAGACCATAACAGGATTTTACCCTGAAATTGCTCTGTTACCTATCTGTTTCGATTTGTCTTAAAAAGACACCAGGCAAGCTGCTCTAACTTAAATTCGGCGAACTTTCTTTTAAGATTACGGCAACGCCCAGTTTATCACCGAAATGCACAAGCTTCCACCCATGGGCTAAATATTCAAAACGATCTAAAAATAAACGCCCCCCGAGGCTCCAGTATAAAGATTATAAATAAGTGGGTCGGGTCGCTTGTTACTGGGCAAAAACAGCCGGTGTATGACCACCAAGATAACCCACAGACATGTGGTGTATTGTACAAAGTCACTCGCCTGGAAAATCACTTTGACACAGCAACATAGTCAGTTATTTTAGTTCAACCTTTTGAGAAATGAAATCTTTCTTCTCGATACGTGACTAAAATAGTATCGGGCCATGTAAATGGCAAGCAATGAGCTGCCAAAGAGATCTCTTTTTCAACCATTGAATGAAATTCCTGAATGCAAGTCACGAAAGAAGTACTCTATTTGGCAACATAGACGAAATCACTGATTGTCCTCAAGGGCTCTGCAGGAGATAGCTGAAGAAGACGAACTGAAAACCTTACTTTCTACCGTGAACTTCAATAAATATGTTCACACGGAAAAATATCTCCAGCTTGTGTTTCGGGACATAATGGAGACTTTCTAATACGATTTCTACACTTAGTAAATTTAGGGCATGGTTGTTTGACTGGAGTTTTTGTATCATTAACGGTCCAAAATGGTTATAGATGATTATCATGAATACACCACCTGTCATATGAACTAATTTGATAGAAACGACATTTTAATACTCCTGTAAACACGATGTACTTTTGTGTAAACTTCGCACCACGAAATCTATCAACCGTACTTAGTTGTACGTTTCAGACTGGCGTTTGGCGGAGTATTCCATTTCAGTCGCATTTAGTTTTTTCTTCGAAATTAGCATTACTTTGCACCAAGTTCGGATGACAAAAGAGATAAGGATTAATACTAAGCAAGCTTAAGTTAACATCCGTCGAAGCAAATCGTGAAAAAAATACGGCCTATTTTTAAATTAATGACAAACTCAACTAGGTTTCTTTCCTTGAATTGCCAAGGAAGTCTTGCTTCAGCCTAAAAACGTGCCCAGAAACCGATTTCAGGGGAAAGGCTTAAGAGTAAAATAATTGCTTTGTTAAGACTGCATTTGCACGAAAGCAACTTTACAGAGGAAAAAAAAAAACAGGAAAATAAATCTTCTAAAGAAAACAAAAAGAGACTTTCTAATCAACATAGCATTAAGAGTTACATGGACGGTCTTTCAATAAGGCTGAAAGCCTTCGTGGTAATTAATTTCAGCTCACGTCAGAGTAAACAAAGTTTTGTAATTCTAACTCCACATTTCCCTCTTTACATAGTTTAACATTTTGGGGGAACTCAATTTATTTGAAAAATAGCTTAAACGGTAGCTTAACAGTTTCTTCGGTTTTAATCAAGCACAGTTATTTCGATGAGAGTAATGGTCAATTTCTTTCCTAGGGAAAAAATAAGCTACAAAAATAGCCAGGGTTGTTTCTTTTGTAGCTATTTCATTGCTGTTTGAAATGAAAGTGTTCTTAAGTTTCTCGTGTTTGAAAACAGTCGTGTAAAAAACTACGCTTCTCTGTTAGCAGTGTGCTTATTTAATCAGTGACAGTAGAGATTCCTATATGCGAGATGGGTGTTTCAACGCGGGGGCTCGCGAAAATGTATTTGCTCATTTTGACTGCAGTTGTTAGCATGTACTGGGCCTTCCGCTACTAAGCAAAGCAAGCTGTTAACCTGGTATCCCCATTGTTTCAGTAACATGTGATTTCTTTGTCTTTGAAGACAAACAAAACAGAGCGCGCATTGCAAATCGCTAACCGTGCCGTGAGATGTATTTAAGTCAATTGTTCCGCAAACACTTTTTTTAAATTCGATAATACAAATTGCCACCAATCGCCTGTAAACAATAGTTAGTCTTATTGAACGTCGATGGAAATCAAACCCGGGTTCTCTTGCATTGAAAAAGTCGCTTGGGAGCAAAATTCGGCCGCTAAAAGAAAAAAATGACCGTAGCGAAAACTTCGCTCTGCTCGCAACGGTAGTGGGCGGAAGCCTCGGCGGTCGACCACATGGTTTCAGAGGGCAAACAAATCGTTGAGGGCGCCAGCCCCGTTGTTTCAACTTAGGGGCAATATAACTATCAAGGCAATTTAAAGTTAAATTAAAATCGAGGGGTGACCATTGATGCAATTCACAGTGAAGTATTTTCAAGAAGTTTAAAAATGTTTTTCATTGGAACGGTGCAGAGGCGCTGATGGCCCCTTAGACTAGAAAATCTTTAAAATCTGATTAAATTGCTTCGTTTTTCTATTATCATGTCTTGGATGTCTACATATATTTGTCATTTTGTCGTGACAGACAGTCTTACCTATCTGTCAAAACAAACCGGTTCTTGTGATTTTTTGGACGATTTCTTTATTGACTCTGATGTGCTAGTTACGTAAAGCTTTCAATAACGGGGACAATAAAAGGTTTCCTGTCATTTCTTCATTTCAAATTATCCGTGTACCTCATTGAGACGGTGTTCTTTTCAAAAAGATGCTATCTTACGCAATTAACATTCAGTTATACTTGATTGTCTATTTTTGCTTATGTTTTGACTTATTAACAGCTTTTGCAAGTTTGAACTTTAATTTAGCTGTTTTCTACAGCGAAAAGTTATTATTCTTTTCAGCACACGTTTTAATTAAGGAAAGAAAAAACTCGATACCTTGCAACTTATCCAAAACTTTTACATTCTTCACAACAGGTCACCTCTGTTTATGTTAATCTTCTCTGTTTCTTTTGTGGTTTTTCAAGTTACCGTAACACGTCGCACTTTAAGTCCATGAGCATATAAAATAAAACACAAGAACAGAACGCCGGACAAATTTTATTGGGACCTGTGTTGACTGGTAGATAATTTGGTATATTTTGCAATTGTCAGTCAGATATCGCCCTGCAATACGCAGCAAAAATAACATTTTTCAGTCGAATTCATTGGTAATTCTTGAGTGAGGGTGAAGAGTTCGCACGGCTCTAGAATAGCAGTGAATGCGTGAAACTAACGGTGATAATTTAAGATTAGATGATCGATTTTTTAAACCCAGATTTCCGTCACGCAAAAAACCCCGCAAACATTATCTTGAAAGAACGACTGACATGTACTCAGGTGCAGTGATTTGAGTAAGAACGAAACGCTTCTCATTGGCAAAGTGAACTCTAAAGAACAAAAGAAGCATTAAAATGGGATGAGCGCCTGAGGGAATTTACCTGAACGTGGCTGAAATTTGCTCGTGCGGAGAGCTATATTTCGCTAAACGCCACCGGCACGGACTTTCTGCAGAGCAGAAAAATCCTTCCACAAACAAGTTGTACACGTTTGGGAAGGGTGCGAAATTGTTTGCAAAAATAAAACTTGAAATTACTACACTAATTTATTGAATAGACGATCTCTGAATGCGGCGATTTCCTCTGAGATTTGAAGCTGTTGTCAACGAGAAGTTTTACGGAACCCAAGTTTTCTTTCCTGTCACTTTAAGTTCTGTCGATTCGAGGCACCAGAAAAGTTAAGCACCCGGCGTTTGTATTTGTGACACCTCTTATGAAGTAAAATAAACTTGGGGGTAAATATCCAATCGATAGATACCGGTTTCTCGGCACGCGGGACAGCCAGGGTGAATTCAGTTATGAAAACTTATTGTTTCTTCAAAGGTTCGCAAATCAGCTGATCCATAGAATTTTTGGTTAAGCCGACCTCCAGAATTAAAGCGAAACTGTCTTTGTTTTTAGAAAGGGTAACTACACGCGGATCGCTTATCACGCCTGACTTCAGCAAATCTTAGCAAAGCGCGAGCACAACCAGTAAATTATCACGATCATTTCGATGTTAAAATACCATGATTTGCGGAAGACTAATGGAATTTTATTAAGACACCCTAGCATTGGAAAAGTGAGTTTTTGCAGCAAGCTCAAGCTTCAAGAACGACATAGAGCTCTTGTTTAGAATAATCTGCAAAAGCGGTGCAGAATTGCTCCGCATTTCCACGCGTCGTTGATGTTAAAGTCGTGAGCGCGACCGAATCCTTATACAGAGAAAGGTTGCGCGGGATTTTAAACTTGTAATTGCTCACTTAATTGTGCAGATGATATTTACCTAGGTGCTGGTAACTTTTGTTGTCCTTCTTCAGGGTACATTCTCTCACATTAAGCCCTAGCCGAACAAAACATTCTGTAGTTCCTAGGTACCTATATTGTGGCGCTTGAACGAACAATGTAACACGTGCATCGAGTTATCAGTTCTGTTTATGTGACTACCGTAAGTCATTTAAAGTCTTTTCTCTGTTGGTCGGTACCCGGATGCCTCAAATCATTAACTAAAATGGCTCACCCGTTTCATCTTTCGTGGTGACTTTTTAGTTCGCTGGTGAGGGCGCTTAACCGGTCCAAGTTATCCGTGTGTACCGAAGGAAGACGAATTTGCACGCTTCGAGCCCTCGAAGTTACTTACGCATCTGTTAGCTTAAGATACATTCCAAGGACAAAAGAGTTCTCTTCTCGGCCGCGTGTCAAAATTATATATGTATAAAGCGTGATACATCTATTGTGTGCGATGAACAGCCAGCCCTTTGTGGCAATTCTAGGATATTTAGGCAGCAAAGGGCGAACTAAACAAATTGTCATCGTAGCCAGTGGCGGGTCACGTGGAATCAGTACGGCCACCATTCAACACCTGTAAAACGAAGAGTTTTGAATCAAAAAGCGTGGAAAAGCGTTCCATATTTACCGGTCTTCGCTGGTTCAGCTTTCCAGCGTACTCTCTTGCAGAGATGCTCAGCTGTTTGCAAAAGGCTCACCTCACGTTTTCTGACCGCTTCCTGATTTCCCCCGGGCAACGGCGCTCAATGAACGGAGAAATGATTTGAAAGCACAGCGGACGGCGTAATTTGATTGGCTGGAGTCATTGACAAAAGATCTAACAAAAGGATCTGAGCGACCCTCGTGGCAAAGTTTATTGTCTCGAAAATCAGTGAAATTCACTTAGCGCGGTGCACTAATCGCGATTCTACTGTGCAGTTGACAGATTCGGCCTTGCATTGCACACACTCGCGCGCCTTGACAGAGCGCCTAAAACCGTTTAAAAATCACTCATTTCAATAAAATCCGACTTCCTCCAGCTAATAATTGTGAAGCTAATTACAGCATGGTTGGTTAATTATGAATGTGCCTTTGAATATTAATAACCTCCTCGCTCGAGCTCCGATATTATTTTAACTTCTAAGCCAGTGATGAAGGCGGGGGAAACTAGTGAGCCTCGCACGTGTCATAGACTCGCTGCTTGGCTGTCCCGCGAAGCGCCGCTCTGATTGGTTGGCTTACTAGCACGTGTCATTAACTTTAGCTACACCTGTCGGTTCTTTCACAGGTGAATACCAATATATTTGTCACCACTGCTCGCAAGTGTTTGCATTCCCAAACACACTTAAAACGCACATCGCATTTGAGTGCGCCTCAAACCGTGGGAAGAGCTATAAAGAGAGCCTGCTTCACACTCAGCGAGCACACTCACACACCAGTTACCTTCCAAGTAGAAACAACCCGCCGAACAGGCCGCCGAGAATGAGCACTTTGTTTCTAACTCCCAACTCGGATACGGACGGGATACAGGTATCAAAGCCGGACAGTGACCCACCGCTCAGCCTTAAACACGACGGAGAAACGAGCAGGAACGCGCACCATCATAATGGCAGCGCGTTTTTATCCGACGTTTCAGTTCACGACGATAAACCCATGGTTAACGGGGGCCATTCTTCGTCTGGACTTAATTTATCCAACAGCATGGGTTGCTTAAACGGTTTAAATGGTTTTAATGGCTTCAACAACCTATCACTGGCCATGAATCAGTTTCCATTTCTCTCCAACTTCAACGCTGACTCCTTCATGATGAAGGAGAGCCCAAAATCGCTGCAAAGCTCCATAGGAGAAAGCTCGTCATCTAAAGCCTCGCCACCCTTCTCGCTGCACTCAAGTTCCGCCGATCTGCAGGTCGTTAAGTCTCCAGACAAACTCCAGCCCGTTCTCACGCCGCTAACACCAGTGAGTTTACCCTCCTTCACCGCGGAAACGTTCGGAATGAAGGAAGGCTTGAAAAACACTTCTCTCGTGCCGCAAGTTAACCAGTCACAACCTTTCAGCTCCGCGAGCTTCAACGGCTTTAAGAGCCCGGAGCTTGGAAGCGTGCCAGTTTCTTCGGAATTTCCTTCAATCTCGCGACCGCTTTTGAACGAACTAAATGGACTTAACGGTATGAGATACGGCAATCTATCTCAGGATTCCGCCTTCTCGCAAAATCAAATGGATATGTTGAGTAATCCAGCGTTTCTCCTCCAGCCGAGACCGCCGCTTTGCAGCCCTTCTTCGATGCCGTTCTTCAAGTACGGATTTCCTCAGGGTTTCCCATCGCTAAATGGTCAACCAGTGATGAATCCGACAGGCCCTATGATGTTTGGAGCGGAACAGAATGTTAACAGACTGCCTTCCTCTTCAACGACACCGAACCAAGATGGAACGAGTTTGAACGGAGATCAAATGACGCCGGACAAACCGAAGACAGGCTGCAACGAGGAAATGATAAACGATCTGAATTCGAAGAAAGTTAATAAAGGCTACCTGTGTGAGCTCTGTGGCAAGTTATACACGCGTAAATACGGGCTGAAAATTCACATGCGTATTCACACTGGCTACAAGCCCCTAAAGTGCAAATATTGTCAAAAGAGGTTCGGAGATCCGAGCAACATGGCAAAACACATCCGCCTTCACGCTGTTGGGGACACTCCCTACAAATGTCAGTACTGCGGAAAAGTGTTGGTAAGACGAAGGGATTTGGACCGCCATATAAAATCAAGACACCCGAACGGACGCTAAATGGTAAAAATTGTTACTTTTTAAATCGAATTTCATAGCTCTAGATGTTAGTTTATCGAGAGAAGAGGAACTTCTGTGAAGATATTTAGCTGTGGCATTGAACGTTCAATAGCAATTTCGGTCATTTTAATAGGCCTTCATTTTCAACATTCGTACGCAGAAGACTGTAATCGCAACTATAGTTCATATGTTTGTACAAAATTCTCCGACGTAACCATTGTAAAGACGAAAAGACATTTATAATATAAAAAGGAGCAAGATATAAGTTTGTACGATAAAAAGAAAAGCAGAATAAAAAAAACGTGCTATTTGAAATGAATTTGCTGTCTCTAATACGCGCAAGACATAATTTATTAATTTGATATTCTTTCTCGTTGTTTTCTTTCAAAACTTATTCACCAACCTGTGAAGTCAATTAAGTGAATAAATTTCTCTAGCCATCTTTAGAAATTGCCTGGAAACCATTTTAGCTTTGTTTTCTGCTTTGTCTTTGAGTGCAAAGACAAAGAGAGAGGCGAGGTGTTCTGTGAAGTTAGCCGACATAAATTCAATTCTTCATTACGAAATCTTCTCCCTTTTATTGACGCCTTTGAAAGCTTACGCACTGTCTACGGACTCTACGGAACGATGAAAAGATTGGGAAAACAGAGATATGTTTAAGTATCACAAACCAACTGGTGGCTGAATTCTCTTTATTTTGTCGAGCAAAGATTTGCGAGGTTAGCGAAACACGGTGAATGTTTCGATCGGTAGTCACAAACAACAAGCGTAACTTGCCGCGATAACAAACGGGGAAACATATGGCTTTTGTTTTTCCAAAATAAATTTTCGTTTTTGTAAAACTTTAAATCGCCGTATGATCCGTCTATTTACATTTTATCTTTAATCTAAATGCCTTTTAAAGTCTTTTATACTAAGCAGCACGATATAAGCGAGTACTTTGTTTAGCGGAATTTAATAACAACACGTTTTGCCCAACAATGAGTGTTATAACTTCACAATAGTAAGGAACAACTCTAACAGGTTATTTTGTCTTGAACGAAATTCGTTTGAACAACAAGAGTTGTCCAAGCGATAAGTTTCATTTCTGTTCCATGATTTCATGCAAAGACGACTCTAACAAATAATGTTTATTTTGCCCAAGAGAAACTGAGGAACTCACTCGCATGAATGATCCTTTGGATAATTTCTATAAATAAACCTTTACACTCCATTGACACAGAACAAAACCTACTGAATTTGGCAAAAAGAAAAAAAAACGAATTTGCCTCTTTCAATCTTTTTTTTTCAGCAGGATTACCTATGCTCTTAAGTGAAGCTACAAAAATCTTTTGATGAGAACATGAAGTCATATCCAGCCATTTATTCGACAAACACAGTTGAAAACTGACAACTAATTCGATGAGATGAGGTTCCAAAATCAGTTGCGATTTAAGCTTAAGAACCCTTGAAGAAATCCCGAATACTAAAATAATTATCAGACTGCATTTCAAAAAGGGCAATTCGGGACTTTGGAAAAGAAGTTCTAACAGACATTTGAGGAACATTTCAATGCCATTTTTCAATATGTTCGAGAATTTTGCTCTCCATGCATATTTGTAGCGGACAAGCAGGAAACCTTTTTTGAAATCTTCACCACGGTTTTCTTCGTAAATCAAAAACTGCGTTCAATTAATGGAATATACCCGCTTCTAGCTTGTTTCAATTTACTGGTATTTAACTTAGGTTTGTTCAAAATCAGACATTGAGCGACTGAAGTTTGTCGCCATGAACATGTGGTCAGGTAAACATGTGTTCGTACATCGTAAAACTGAATTCACGGTCAGATTCAAACAAAAGACGCAAATTCGATTTTTAAATAAGCTAGATCGGTTTAGGACGCTTATCCGACACGGTAAGTATTTCAGTTTATTATTTTAACTGTAGATCACCGGGGTTTTGGTTTGGAATCACTGCGTGTTCTGTTTGATTAGAACGTAAACTTTGATACCGACGGTAGCTAGATTGTTTGTGAAGGCCATTGACTTGACACTCGCTCAAGTTTTGGGTCGGTAATTTACTTAGTTAAGACTCAGTGAGTTTGTATTGAGGAACAGGATAGAGGCAAAGGCCAGAGTTCAATCTATGAAATGTTTCAGCTGGTAGTTGTGAAAAACCACAAACAAATAAAACTTGCTTCTCATATAATAAAGTTCATTAAAGAAACAACAGGACCGGCGTAACTGTACTTCATTGATTTGAACTTAAATAGAGGCGACTGTTTGCATCGAGTGATCTTTCTGCAGTTTGTGCAGATTCTTTCTCCGCTTTCCACTTTGCCGATTTCCTTTGTTTTTGCGTTTACATTTCTTGGTCAAGTAGCAAGCTTGACAAAGCGTGGCGAGTGTGAAATAATCACTAACCTCCCAGCTTCAGGGAGAAATCCACAGGCTCGCTTCATTGGGTTTGATTATGCATGTTCATTAAGGTAGTAGTAATTTGAGGACAAAATCTATCAGAGATTCTAACATGTCTGCGATGTTAAAGAGAACACAGTGTGTTTTTTAATCGATCAACTGACGAAGTGAAAATATATATGCGTCCCACGTACTAGTTTCTGCCTAAAGAAATAGTTTTACTTTCTGAAAAAAAAATCACTGCAGATTTTTCTTCAGAACTGTATGATCTTGTCTTTCAACTGCCACGAGAGACGCTAGGCACCGAATGGACTGACTCCTCCGGAAAACTGGGAGAAATTTGAGATTGGGATGACCTAACAAGTAAGCAGAAATTTAACAATAATATATACTTTTTAAGTTCTTCTTGAGGTCTTAAAGTTGTTATCGCCAGTTCTGTCATTGTGTGGCAATGATAAAATACAGACATGATTCCCGACCAACATCATCAGTTGAAAAGTACAAAAGCAATATAAGTGATTGCTATCAACATGATCAATTTTCTCAGTGGTATGTGTGATCACCAAAAACAAGGCCATAGCCAGAAAAAACTTCTGACGGGTAATGACCATGAAAAATTTCTGACTAAAACAACGTCCATAGTTAAATTTTCTTGCAAAGTAATTAAGGAGATTATGATAACTATAAACAACAACAACGAAAAAAATGACTGAGGCAAGTGCCTCGGCCTTGAAAAAAAGAAAAAAAACATTCAAAAGACAATTCGAGACTCTCATCAAAACACCACCAACAGTTTCTGCAATACTAGTAATACTTGAGCAAAAATATCTTGAAGTATACTGAGAAAATGGTTCACGAGAAAACAAAGAAACAAAAAGTATTTCACTTCTGGGATGCCGGCGTTATATCACAAGAGAATGCGTGAATACCCTTTTATTTCATGCCTTTGAAATTGACACAAATAGTGCCCACTGTACGTTGTGACGGGAAAATATTGCTGCATACAGACCGTGAAATACACAGTCGAAATAACGCCAAATATGAAATGGTTTTCTAGTCTTCTAAATAGTTCTGTACCCCATGCAATAAGACTGATATCCGTGTGGAATAACTGAGCGTAAAGCTTACACTTTGGTAGCCAGGAAAATATGGACGATTGGTGATCTTAGTTAAGGAACATTTGCCTGTGTGTTAATCATGTGATGTGATGCTTTGACATGCAACCAATTAAAGGTTCTAAACTTAAAATACAATAAATCGTTCTTCACTTGATACGGTTTGCTGGTACTCGCCAAGAACGTCTGGTTTACAAACTTTCAAAGATCACTGAAGTTAGCAGTTTATTCACTCAGACAACTGAAGTGACCGGTACTCTTTGTGTCTGCATCCACCTCGAAAGTCTGTCTGGTCAACCTACCTGGTCAAGTAATATTTGCTATCGCGGGTAGAAACCGACCAGCGTACAGCAATTGTTTTGAAAGACAGGTAAACACCAGAAAGATGATATGATTAGTTAAGACATAACGGGAAAATAACGGTTAGGCTAAAACGCATAATAATGGTTGCAGAGTAAAACCTCATTCACGTTGGATGGCAGATAAATTACCTGCTGCATTTGACGGTTGAAAGAGCGCTAAAATGTTAATGTAAGCGCTATGGCATGGCAAACTTTAACTACAGTAGCCCCAAGGTGGGATAAAATCTCACATCCAAACACTTAAGTAAAATAGATTCACGAGTACTACAAATACATATAAAGAGTGATTTCAGTTTCAATTTAATTATTACTCCGATTTTTCGCATGTAAGGTTATTACGGGTTCATGATTCACCTGAAAGCTTTTTTCATCAGCCTCAGTGGAAAAGTGCGCTAAAAAAATGAAGAAATTACAACTGTTCAGGAATCACAGCAATAACAGTGTGGTTTTATTGATACCAAACCAACACAGGTACGTCAGATTTAATATAAGGGCAAACAGCAAACCACTCCAGCCTCAGTTTCTATAAATAAAGGTGATGTCGACGTGACTGCGATCAAAAATGCTCTATAGGTACCTGTTCTTGCACCTGGGCATGGAACAAGAAAACATTTTATCATTTTATTTTTTTTTTTTGCGTGGTAAAGTCAAAATGACGTTTTTACCACAATACCGGTTTCTTTATAAACACTTCACAAAGTGCATGAGTCGATGAGAATGAATGTTTGTTTTGCAAGCAGTTGTCTGATCAAAGGACTCGACGTATGAAATTCGTTTTTACAGCTGAACAGGATTTAGAAATGATTTGAACAGCAACCTTTCAATTGACTTAATAACGCACCGGCTTCTAACAAGGAAAAAAACAGATAAAAAGAAGAAATCTATTTCTTCATTAAGTAGAGGAAAAACTTAACAATTAAGGACTCCAGTCGCCCATGATAATTTATAAAGTGAGTCCCCATTAGAGGTTTTTGGGATACAGGGGAGTGTTTGGGTAAAAAATTAACAGGATGCAAGATATTTGGAAGGAAATTAATGGGATATATAATATTTAAATCAGATGAAACGAGATATAGAGGAGGAAAATCGTTAATTCAGTTTTTGCGATTACTGATCACGAGAATATCAGAATTAAAGGGATGCGGGATACAGGATATCTGGGGGGAAATTAATGGGATATAAGATATCTAGATCCGATGAAACGAGATATAGAGTGGGAAAATCGTACATTTTTGCAGATGGAATTAAATGTCCGATACAAGATATTTAGCCAAACATTAACGGGATGTAAGATACTGAGACTCCTTCCCTCTTTCCACCCCCA